CTGGGCACCACGGAGAAGAGGCTGGCCTCATCCTCTTGACACTCCCCCTTCAGATACTTGTACACGTTGATGAGATCCCCTCTCAATCTTCTCTTCTCCAGGCTGAACAGGCCCAGCTCTTGCAGTCTTTCTTCCTAGGAGAGGTGCTCCAGCCCTCTAATCATCTTGGTAGCCCTCCGCTGGACTCTCTCCAGGAGAGAGATAACTAGAAATACTGCAAGAATTACAAGAGTGTGACAAATTACAGAAGCGCTGAGAAGACAGATCAAAAATACCCCCATTTCTAAAAGCCCTCAAAGATAGAAGTGCCTTAAGTGCCTTTTTTTTCCCCCCAAACTCGGGATTGTCTCACGTACTAGCTTCAGCTAAGATTTGGGTTGAACTTTGTTTTAAGAATTTTTTACTCTTAGATGATCTGGATGTCTAATTTCCATTAATGTTGTATGCTTTTGAAATTCTCAGACTAATGCTGAGGGTTCTGTTGGTCTGATGCTGACATCAGGTTGTTTCAAAGCTTATTGAGGGGAAAAGATATGACTAAAACAAAGCATATCATACCATTCATGCAATAATTTAGATGTCTGCGTAGATAGAATCTGTATGTTCAGTAATTAAGCACTGAAGATGGTATCAAAAAGACGCATCATGTGTGTGCAGAGCACCTCACACAATACAAACATTACCACAGTGCGAATAATTGCCAGTCCCTGAGAGCCAAAGCCATGGTTTCAAAGGTTGTTCCCCCCCCCCCCCCCATTCGACTGGCAGCCGGAATCATGCCTGAAGCATGCAACTCTGGTTACTGTCTAAATCAAAATACTTGTATCAACAGATTGTTTGAACTCCTCCGGTTGATCAAGGCAATTTCTGTAATCATTAGGAAGGAATCACTATAATTGCACAGGGAATCAAGGAACCAATATGATAGCGTAAGGAAAAAGCAAAGGAAGGAATTGGTTATTTTAATACTTTCTTTGCAGTACTCTCTAAGTTAATTATCAGGAAATGAACTTGGAAATATCCATCAGTTTCTTTCATACAAACTTGGCATATGCACAAGATAACATTGTTGAAGCATAATAAATAGTTTAGTTAAATTTGGAATGTAAATGGGACATGAGGGGAATGTGCAGAGGTTTTCACTAGGAGTTAGAAAAATGCCTTTATTCATTTCCAGTTTATAACAGAATGGAACAACTGAAAATAGTCCCCACATTCCACCCTTCTCCCCACAGAAGTGACAAATGTTGAACAAGGCTGTGACTAAAGAACAAATTGTTTTCAAGGGCACAAATTCCATTTTGATATCCAATCTGCTATGATTTTTCTGGGTAATTTGAAAAGTTATTGTCTACATAAAAACAAAGTCAAAATAACCATCCCTGCCAGGCGCTATTTTACAAAGAAAGAACATTTTGTTTCTTGCTCATAGATCTTGGCAGTTTATCATGTTCGTTTGCTTGTATCTTTTAAGTGTCAACATCTTGATCAATTTTTATTGCACCTGCCTATGGTCAAAATATTACTAATGGTAGCTCTGATTGGTGTTTATGGGCAGGAATAAGTCATTTATAATGGCCATAAGTGAAAAATGTCAAAATATTGGTTAGAAAAATAATAGCCATGGTGTCAAGTTGTCATTATTTATGTAGCAATATTTACCTGTATATCTTTTCTATGTATCCTAATGCTTCACAGGCCACACTTACCTTGCTATCTGTTCATGGTTTTTAAGAGGTTTGCCTGGTTTCAGGAGTATTATCAGAACAAGATGCCAAAAGCAAAGTGATTGTGTTGGTCACCCAATGACTTTTACGTTAGCACAAAATGCTCATTAAAACATCAGTCACTTACCTCACTCCGGGGCAGCTGCAGAAAAAAAGATCAATATGTTATTCAAAACTTTACCAATAAATGCATGCACAATATAATGTTTTCCAGAGGTCCTAATTGCCATCTCCCAAAATCTAACAGCAGAGGAAGTCTGTGCAGAAAACAAGTTCAGGGTTCATAGTAGCTTTCTGGGCAGGAAATGTTAAAGCGTCATTGCAGAACAAACAGAAAAATGCTTCCTGGGAAAAGGATCTGAAATAGCTCTGATCTGATCATTTGTGTTGGAGTATCTGAGAAAACAGTTCTCCTCCAGTAGAAGGACTATGCTTACCGTTGCAGACAGAAATATGGTAATATACCTTATTTGGAAGGTCAAATAGTTTTTTTTTTTTTTTTTTTTTACTGTTCCCTGAACAAGGGAATGAAATAGGGTTGATTTCAGTGTCCTCCATTTCCATCCATAATGTAATTTCATAGGGTATCTTTCTAGGATCTGTTTGTCCAATTTGCTGCTTCAAAAAAGCTTTCTATATGTACTCCTGGAAGTAGCTGAAATGTAAGCCTTTACTGGAAAAGGAACTAATATCTCACTGCAGGTAAAATAACAAGGCCTGTATGACTGGCAGTTTGAAGGCTTTGGATCTATGGATTAGGCATCAAATTATACTGAGTTAAAAAGCAAACAAACCTGATGGAATATCCTAGTACATTAACACAGACATAAGTATCGTGGAGAATGTTTAAACAGGTCACATTGTGTGGCCACGAGCATTGCGATAACTTCCTTTGATAAATAATAAATTTCCTTTGGCAGTCTTTGTAAAAATTCAAGGCAATTTTACAGAGGATCATCATCGGAAAACATCAGAAAATAATTTTATGTAACATGTTTGGAGGATGTGTGTATAGAGGTGTCAGAAATACAGAAACTGAAGAGGAAAGTTACAAGTTTTCAGTAAGTCTAGGGTCCACCTGTGCTTTTGGGGAAGAAAAGGTACAATTTCCTTACTGTCTTTGTCTCCAAAGAACCTCATAAAAGTTGGTAGAACTGGACTTCTGATCATTTACAGCAGTTACGATTTTAATGAAGATTCCTACGTTTTACAGCTGGGACTAGTTTCAGTTAGGTGATAAACTCTCTTCCAGTTTTGAATTTGAGATCTTTAAAAAAAAAAAAAAAAAAATTGGAGGAACCCTCAACTTGTGCTGCTTCAGACTCGTTTCATGTACATGCACACTCATTCCTTCCTATTCTTTCCCTTTTCCTCCAGGCATATAAATTTATCTTGTCAGCCCCCAGTCCTTGTGCATTCCAGGAATTCCAGTCCTTTCATTCAGGAATGCTGCCTAAATTTCTGTTTTGACTTGATTGTAAGCTCAGAACTGGGCTTGGAATGTGTTATAAGCCATACACCTGTGACCCCACTTGAGCTTTAATTGAACTGGAGAACAAAACAAAGCCCTGGTCAGCCCCAGAAAGGTTTAGCAGAACATCCTTCTGCCATAGACCCAGTCAGCTCCTAGGTCCAAAGCAGTGAGGAGCTCTGCTATGCAGGCTACTCAGGGGGATCCATTTTGTGATATCGTGTGGGATCTGCTTTCTCAAGACTGCCGTAGATTCAGCTCTTATATGTTATAGCTGATTGAACCTGCCTGGATTAGTCTCTTCCAAGTGCTCCTTTGTAAATATATATATATGTATGAATTCTAAATTTCATTTTTTTCCAAGGTATTTTGTTGCCTTTAAGACGTCTTATTATTCATTTCTGGCAATTGCTTTAATCCTCCATTGTAGAATTCTGCAGATAATGAAACTTGGGGACAGAAGGATGCAACAGTTTTTTGTACTAAGCAATCAAATGTTTTTGGCTTTTAACTTCTCT